ATAAATGGACTAAGTGCAACATCAAAACATAGAAATTGTCAGATTGGATGAAATAGCAACACCCAACTATGTTTCATACAAATAGGCACTTTAAATATAAAAAGAAATTTTGTTAAAAGTAATAGATGGACAAAGAAATACCATATTAACACTTAAAAGAAAGCTCCTACGCTGTGGTGATATCAGGCAAGACAAAGACTATTAGAAGAGAAAAAGAACATCTTATGATAAAAGGATCCATTCTTCAAGGAGATACAAGAACCCTAAGTGTGTATTCACTTTATAACAGAACTTCAAAATACATGAAATAAAAATTGACAGAAATAAAAGGAGAAATAGACATATTTACACCTATGGTTAGATATCTCAATACTTTTCAGTAATTAGTAGGAAAAGAATGCCTTAAATTGGTAAGCATATAGATTTGAACGTCACTATCAACGAGTTTAACCTAATTGATATTTATAGAACACTATACCCAAGAGATGCAGAATGCAACATTCATGTGTACATCGAAGACTCACCAAGATAGATGTTATGTGAGGCTGTTGAAAAACTTCAACATATTGCAAAGGTTTGAAATCATAGTATGTTCTCAGGCTATAGTGGAATTAAATTAGAAATTAGTAACAAAATGAGGTTTAGGAGATCCCCAGATGTTTTGAAATTAAGATAGTTCTGAATGACTCATGGGCAAAAGAATAAATCAAATGGGAAATTAGAAAATCTTTTCAAGGAATTCAACAAAAAGCAACATCAAAATTTACGAAGTGCAGCTTAAATCTTAAGAAAGTATTAGAATCAATTAAGCTTTACCCTGTGAGTCAGAAAAAGAGACAGTTAAATTCAAATAAATAAAAGGCAGAAAACAGAGAAAACTGAAGTCAATGAAATGGAAAACATAAGGAAATGAACAAGTATAAGGCTTCCTCTTTGAAAAAAATCAGTACAGTTGATTAACTTAGGAAGATTGATGACTTAAAACAATAGCAATTTATATTTCTTTTGAAGTTGTGAATCAGCATGTGGTCTTTCATCCCAGGCTTCTTTGCTATCATGTTCTCAGGGTAGCATTCAAAGAAGGTAGAGTTGGAAATTGTAAATCTTCTTGAACCATAGGCACTGTTAACTTGCTCAGCAAACTTTTGACACTTGAGTTATATAAGCAAGTCACAAGTCCAGCCCAAATTCAAGGAATAGGGAATTAGACTTGATATGTTGATCTTAGGTGGTATAAAACATTATGGCCATGTTTCTTAATTTATGGTGGTTAAATCAAAAATAGTAAAGTGTCTGAAATTTTAGCCTACTTATAAGCTAGCTAGCTTGTTAACTTGCCAGAAAACAAGGCTGCCAAATCAGAAACAGAATTTATTACTACAAAAGCAGCACCCAAGGCAATATCTCGTGTCAATTACCTGAGCCTAAATCTTCACAGGGTGATACAATGAAGGTCAGATGATACCTGCTCAAGCAGTGGTGTGCATTACAGGAGAAGAAACCTAAATTAGGAAACTCTGATTTTACAGAGGACTAATCGTGACCTGTCTGTCTTCTCCTCTGGAGACAGACACCTTATTTTCACCCTGGAATTTAAGCAAATCTTCTCTGGAGAGAGGATGTTGGACTGTCTCAGTGTGGCTAAGCATTATCTTGGAATGTCTCCTTATACAATCATCTTAAATTGGCTATAAATGACATTGCTCAGAGGACCAAGACCAAGCAGAAATGTGAGATGTTCATGGAGAATCATTTTCCAATACAGTGTATCCTCTTGCACAATAATTTGCTTTCCTCCCATATACAAAATTTGATCACTCTCTTCTCCAAAAAGAGCCTACATTCTCATAACACTTGTACACAAACATTTTAGCGCTTTTGTATCTTATTCAAGTCATGTTTCCTTGGTCAGAGTGTTGACTGGAAAGTAGCACATGGGGACTCTGGGGTGATGGAAAGAGTTTGTATCTTGATTAATGTTGGTTATATAGATGTATGTATTTGCCTAAGGATCTGTCCATTTTGTTATGTCATTTATATGTAAAAATATAAAAATGGAAATTTCTGCAAATGTAGGAACTCTTCAGTAACTTCCGTATGTATGTCTACTACTTTATTCCATAGTAAGATTTTTTTAAACATGTTTAGGCTAACCATGGTTTAATATGAAATTTTGATTAACAGTGCCGATATTAAAGAAACTAGGCTTTCTATTGGATTAGAATTAAGCTAGGAGTTAGACATTGATATTGATTTTTATAGCTATAAGTGTGAAACAGCTATTTCATCAGTCTCCTTTCCTCATTTCTTGCCATATGTTGTAGCACCTTTTATACAATAGTTATTGATTTGTCCTTCAGTATCAAATGCTCTTACTACAGCATTTATTTTTTCATTACATAAGTTTCTTATCTTCATGTTCTTATTCTTTTTCATATCACTGTTTTCATTGTTTACTCTTCATGTACTTACTAGTAATAGGTTAATAATGTCCATAAAATGCCTCAGAACTAAACACAGGTACACCAGATATAGATTAGCAAACACCGTGATAGCCATGATCAAACAAAAATGATCTTATATAACCACTAAATACCATCTAATAGCTGTGGACATGCCCGAGGACCTTTGTCCATTTCCACTTCTGAACTCATTTAGAAAGATTGCTCCAACATAAGATTTCTCTTAAACCTAGCTGGGTATAACTTGTGATCTCTTTAGATCAGTAGGGAAATATACTGTATTTAAAAAAAAAAAAAAAAAGCCTTTATAGTGATTTCACTTTTCAGTTGTTATAGTAATTCTCAAACTGAGAGTTTGTCACAATAATAGTAGAGGATGGGAAGGGAGAAAAAATAATGATTTAAGAATAGACGAAATAAGATTGACCATATATTGACTATTGTTGACTGTTGGAAAAAAGAATCACATCAGCATTTTGTTTTAGATGAAGAATCTTGTGTTTTATATCTAATCTCCAAAAGCAGAATCTCTAGAAGGTGTGGTAATCTATACTTTTGAAAAATACCCTAAGTGAATTTTATTTAGCTAGTTATACCATTGCACCCAGAGTTTCTTTTGTTTTCATCCTCATAAGCAGCTTCTTTATTGGTGAGAGATTTTGCTAGGAAAGCTTATGAATTGTTGCCTAAATCTCTTTATAAAAATTTATCAATGCACTCTTCTCTTTCTCTAACTAGATTATTTCCATCTGCCTACAAATCCACTGTTGTGACTCTTGATTTACGTTCTACCCTCACTACTGCTCTATTTTTCTAATATCTTTTGTAGTCAAACTACCTGAGTTGTCTATATTTGTTATGCCAAGTTATACTCTTGAATCCCCTCCACAATAAGAGATCTTGTCAAAATAATGATTGACCTTTGCATTACTTACACAGTGGCAATTCTAAGTTCTTATTAATATAGATGATAATTTCTTCCTCCTTGAAACATTTTTTTCTTTTTACTTTTAGGATATCACAGTTTTTTTGTGTGCTTTCTCTGGACTCTGCTTCTCTTCAGTGTCTTTTGCTGGTTTTGTGTCTTCTTTCTGACTTATTTTTATAATACCTCAGGGTTCATCATTGGACCTGTTCTCTTTTCTGTCTGTAGTCATGCCCTTGGTCCTTTCATCTAATTTCATTGCTTTAAATATCATCTCTAAGCAGATGACTTCCAATTTTATATCCTCAGCTTGGATTTCTTTCTCACATCTCTGAATACGCATATCCGACTATCTATTCAGAATCCCACTAGGACATTCTCAGGTATTTCAAACTAAAGTTTCTAAACACAATCCTCTCATCTCTCTTATCTCCAACCTGCTCTTTCCATAGTCTTATTTCATCTCAGTTTATTGGCAGTTTCATTCTACCAGACTATCAGCATATGTGGGAGTATATTGAAGGACAGATTTAGTGGCCATCTTTGCTTGCTACACACAAAAGATACTGTTTGTGGAGTATATTATATGTAGAATTTGTGGAGAAGATTAAACAACTTAGTAATCCTAAACCATTTAGCACAGAGAAAATAGCCTGATGTGTGACTCTATAAAACTCTGAAACACATTTATTAATATCACTGAACTTTTAAGAAAAAGATTATTTATGATGTATATATTTTTAATTAATGCTATTGTTTTGGGTTTTAGGTTATCTTACTTTGGAATTTATTGGCTACAGGTATAGAAACCTAGCAATGGTTTAAGCAAATAGAAGAAGCAGGCATTAGTGAGCCTTGGTTCCACTAATTCTAACAGCAAGGGGCTATTAGACATCCACAGCTTGTTTTGTGGTTCTACTCTGTCAACCTTATTGATTGGTTTTTAATCCTCATGCTTGATGACTTATGGTCATAGGATGGTTGTTGCAGTAGACATAGGTTCACATCTGGCTTTGGATAAGGAAAGTGGATTTTTTTTCCCCAGAAGCAACCCTCATTCCATCCCGAAAGCAGACTTCTGAGTGTATGTCATTGATATTAATGGCGTCATCTGCCTGTCCCCTGTCCACCCTTCTTGGAAAGCTCAAAAGTAGGTATTTAGCTGGGTCTGTTACCACTATGAGAGAATAATTCTGGAAAGAGGGAATAGAATCTGATAAGCATTCAAAGTTTCTGCCACATAGAACCGTCAAAAACTACTAAATTTAAATATAATTTATGATTAGAGTTTATTTGCTTGGAAAAACCTTGATTATTTCTCAGTAAGATCAAATAATGGTTTTTTAATGGTAGATAGAGGAGTCTTTGTTATTTGATATAGAGGAGGGCTCTCAGTAGTTTACAAATGTGTTAAGAATAATCCAGTGACTGGTTAACAGAAGCCGCCCATTTGTTTAGAAGTTAGCAAATTTATGTACGTTAGTTTACACTGGTGAATTTTTGAGAATTTTAACTTACGTTTCGAGGTAAATAAGAAATTGGATATTCCTTAAAATCATAAGGATCATTTTTTATTGTTAATTTTGTTTCTTTTTTTCTTTTGGTTTCCATAGAATGTTGGCTCAATTAAGAAACAGCAGGGAGATAAATTCAGCCCAGTGGTAAGTGCTTTTAATTTCTTTTGTTAGAAGGTATTTTGGCTTATTATTATACCTCCATTCTTGGCCAGCTCCTCTTCCTTTATTTGATTAGAACATTTCTGCATCTACCCATGTTGTCTGACCTGATAAAGTGGCTCTTACTTATCACAGCCTTAATTAGCAGTTTCCATGTTTATCACTTCTTGTTTAGACCAGGCTAGGCTTATTCCCTTTAGTTTACTTCCTTGTAGCATTGTGTAAGGGAGAATCTGTTTGGGTGTTACTCATTTATTTCTCTTTCATATTGGTACTTTCCTCCTCTGCCCTCAGTAATTAAGGTCCCCCTCCTTTCTTATCAATCAGCAGTTTTTAGTGTGCTAAATTGGGGTCCATCTTTGTTTTGGCTTGAGTCCCACTAAATTTAATCTGAGGCCTATAAAGTGCTCTCTTCACAGCCTCTGTCCATAGGAAGTTTTCATTTGAGATATAAACTCTGCAGCTTCCTAGAGCTAAGCATTTAATTCCTTTCCTGAATTCTTTGTCTCTTCTGAGAAGTTTTATGGTTTCTGACTGTCTGCAACATGATCTATTTATGATTTGCACTACAGAAAAGTCTTAGAGGTTGTTTTACCTTCATTTACAATTATTCTGCCCTGTAAAGTTGCCCTATACCTCAAATGCCCTTCACAGATGATAGCATCTAAAATTAATATACTCTTTTAAATCACATATATTTGATAGTAACATTTCATATCCTTTATTTTAATAATTTATACTCCCTAATCCATTATGATTTTTGGAAAATGGATATTTAGGCCATACCTTATAAGTTTTTAGATTATATGACATAAATATTATATATTAAATAATGTATGCTTATATTATAAATTATATTATATATTATAAATATAAGCATATATTACTTATAATGAAGTAGAATAGTAGTTTGAGATATCTCACCAGTACTGTCCCATAGAACTTTCTGCAGTGATAGCAGTGTTCTGTATCTTCTCTTATCCAGCACAGTAGCCATAGCCCCATTTGGCTATTGAGAATTTAAAATGTGGTTAGTCCATCCTAGAAACTAGATATTATATTTTATTGAGTTTAACTTGAATTTTTAAAGTTAAAATGCCACACGTGTCTAGTGGTTACCATACTGGAGCTTCTTTTTATTGTTCCCAGTGTACCCCTAACTCATTATCAGTGGAAGTCTTAGAACTTCTTACAAATAAATTTTGTCTTTATTTTTAGAATCTTTTTTTTTTTATTATAATCACAAGTATAAGCTAAATTCCCCTTTAGCAATTAAATTCTTATTAGATCAATAAAACTGCATATTTTTATCTGTAAAACACATCTTTATATAAAAATAAATTATTACTAAGCATTCTGGATATATGTTGACAAAGATTTCTGTTATTGTTTTTATTAAAGGATAATTGATATATTAGTTTCAACTGCACAACATAGTGATTTGATATTTGTATATGTTACAAAATGATCGCCACAATAAGTCTAGTTAACATCCACATATATTTCAAAATTCTTGTGATGAGAACTTTCAAGATCTATTCTCTTAGCAACTTTCAAATGTGCAATACAGTTTTATTAACTGTAGTCACCATCCTGTACGTTATATCCCTGCGAGACAAAGATTTTGGATAGAAACATTTAATGTTTGACATCGTAGTGTAGGGGAAGAAAAAATTGTACTCAACCTTACTTGAGTCCCTGACTGTGTCTGAAAATTAAACTAACAAAGACAGATTAACAGGAGAAAAGCCTAGAAATTTATTTAATATAAGTTTCAAGTGACATGTAAGCCTTCATAAGGACATGAAGACTCAAAGAAACTTAAACCTGAGTATTTTCATGCTAGGTTTGGTGAAGAGTGGACAGTCGTGTATAAATATGATAAGTCAAAGAGTATAAGGTAAATGTAGTAAACTGGGGGAATTAAGCAAGGCCCGTGAGGATTCTTCTCTCTTTGTCTTCAAAGATAAGTCTATTCCTTCTGCGTACAGGGAGTGCACCTCATCTGAGGGTTTGTGATCTGTTTCAGGGGAGAAGGGTAGGGCAAGGTCAGCATGACCTTCTTGCTTTTGCTGTTTTCTCAAATTCCTTCAGTTTAAAAGTCAATATATCAAAGAGCCATATTTTGAGGTGGTACGTCCTGAACCCCATAGTAGTTCATTTTTGTAAACTCTAAAGAAATATGTAGTAAAGACCTATTGATATTTGAATCGTTTTGAGCACCTGAGTTCAAACATATCATTATATATTGAGAAGCAGAATAGTGCAGTAAGAGTGCAGAATCAGTTTCTTTATAGAAAAATAGGAATAATAGCACATTCCTTAGAAAAATACAAGGATGAAATGTGAATATGCATATAATTTATCTAAAGAACTTTAGCACAGTGCCTGGCACATGATGATCGAGTGAGAATAGTCAGAACTTTTAAAAGATTGCAAGGGAAATGAATATTTATTGTTGATAAACACTTTAAGAATACCATATAATTTGAATTGGAAGAATTAGAAGCAGTGCCTTGCAGAGCCATATTAGAGCCAGAGGCAAAAAAAAAAAAAAAAAAAAAATTCAGTAATACTGATCCTATTTTTATTTAAAAAGTAGCCATTTTGTTCATAAATGGGTTATTTTTAGTGATTTTGATTTTTTTAATTGCCTTAAAATATTTAATTACTAAGATTTTTTTGGTGCCTCCTTACATTTTGCGCCTGAGGCACTTGCCTCTTTGGCTTCAACCTAGTCTTGGCCCTGCCTAGAAATCTAATACTTTAACAGTCTCTGCTTAGAGCAAGAATTTATCATTTTACAAAGAATTGATAACACTAGGCATTCATATTTATTGAAATAGGCTTTTCTTGGCTAATGTAATTTTAGCCTAGTTGGAATTCATCTAGGTATGTACATTGTGTTCTAATACAATGAGCCTTGAGAATTTTCACTAGTTCAGAATCGAACCTTTCCCCCAGTTAGTTTGAAATAATGAAGTCTGTACATTCCTGATGCATGTTTATTCTCTAGTGTATAACCTATAACAATTATAAAGGTCTTTAGGAAATAAAAAGGTCTTTAGGAAATGAAATAAGCCAGACAGCGTTGAAACAAAATATACTTGGCATAGATTGGAATTTTGACGCAGAAAAGTCATAGGAAAGTTAAGAGTGATTTATTTTGATGGCTGGTTAGGAAGACCTGAAAATATCTCTGCATTCCCCCTTCCTACTCAAAACTGATAAATAGCTTTTAGTCAGAAATTAACAAAATATCTTTGTTGTATTAGGGGTTTTCTTGTTGAGGATGAGCAGACTCATAAAGTATTGTTCTTGTAGAAGCATACAATGGTTACGTAATGGATCATTTTATAAATTACAAAAGTGCTTGAGTTTAATTTGAAATTCAGTATATATAAATTTTTATAATACAGCAATGTTAAATGCATTTCACTGGGAGTAGAGGAGGAGGTGTTTATCTGTGATAAATGCGTTGGAATAATTTGTTTTGAAAAATTGTTACGTATGTTTTACTAAAGTTATTTTTATTTGAATATTGCAGTGTCTAAAAATGACTACAAAAAGAAGTTTGTTTGTGCGGTTGGTACCATGTCGTTGTCTACGAGGGGAAGAGGAGACTGTCACTACTCTTGATTATTCTCATTGCAGTTTGGAACAGGTTCCCAAAGAGATTTTTACTTTTGAAAAAACTTTAGAGGAGCTCTATTTAGATGCTAATCAGATTGAAGAGCTTCCAAAGGTATGTTAATACTGTCTTTCAAGAATTGACTTTGGTTATATTTATTCCTAGAAATATATTCACAATGTCTCCATAATGCTGCCGATACATATGTGTGCATTGTTTCCATTTTTTGGTTTAATTTTATCTTAGGGTATTCAGTGTAATTCAAATATTTTTAAAATATTTAAATATTTGTGTAAATAACAAACTTTTGTATTTAATTCCAGTTTTGTTATAGCCACGAAGGTAGACAATAAAACTGCACAGTTTCTGCAATCAATGGATTTAACTAGACAAAGAACTAAAATTACATTTTCTTTTTTCTAGTTTTTATAAGACATTGATCTACAGTATTGTAATTGAGAATAATTTTTTTTAGTTATCACATCATACCTTGATTGTTAAATAGCTTTTTAGACGTAGTATTCTGTTTGCCCCATTTCAGTTTGTTTGGAAAGGTATTGGAGAAACAACTACAAGGAGAAAGTTGGTTTGCTGCTGTGAAACCATCTCACATTATCAACTTCTTAGCTAAAATTTTTCAGTGGCCACTTTTTTCCCTTAAACCTTAATCTCACTTCATCCTCTACTCAATTTTTTTTTTAATGGAAAAGCTGCAATAGCTTTAATTGTTAAAACTGTTTACCATCCAAACAGCAGTGTTTTTCAAACATGGGTAGATACTCATTGGTGGTTTAAAGATTAATTTACTGTGTGTGACATTTCCACATAACAAGCCGTGATTTGGAATGGCAAATTTAGAAAGTAAAAAAGTAGGACACCCAATTAAATTATAATTTTCAGGTGAAAATAATTTTTCAATATAAATATGTGTTACATAATTTATAGAACATACTTTTACTAAAAACATTGTTATCTGAAATCCAAATTTAATCAAGCATCCTGTGTTTTATCTGGTAACCCTAACTATAATGGAATAGAATATAAAGTGTTGCATGTATCCACAACATGGATGGACCTTGAAATAATCATACTGAGTGAAATAAGCCAGACAGAAAAGGTTGAAAATCACATGATATCACTTATATGTGGGATATAAACCTAAAAGCAACAAATGAACAGGACAAACAAACAGACTCAAGGACATGGACAATGGACTAGTGGTTACCAGAGGGGAGAGCGGGCAAGGGGGAGGGGGAAGAAAAGAAAAAATAATAATAAAATGTTTAAAAAATAAAATAAAATATGAAAAAAATAAAGTTGTATGTATTCATTGTTACATGAAATCTTTGTTTTAAATTTGTGTGTGTAAACATATTGGATGGCAGTGTTTTTAAAAAGGCTTTTCTTCGGTTGCCAATAGTAAAAAATTTTGAAAGCCGATTCCATCCAAGTTTGTCTTACAAAGCAGTAGTCCCTGACCTTTTTGGCGCCAGGGACCTTTTTGGCGCCAGGGACCGATGCTCCTATGAGAATCTAATGCCTGATGATCTGAGGTGGAGCTGAGGCTGTGATGCTAGTGCTGGGGAGTGGCTGCAAATACAGATGAAGCTTTGCTGCTTCCAGTCATCTTTTCCTGTGCTGCCTGGTTCCTAACTACAGACCACAGACTAGTATCAGTCTGTGGCCCCAGGGTTTGGAGACCTCTGTTATAAAATCTGTACATGGCTGTGGATAAAATATTAAAGGTTGTGGATTATATGTTTATGAATTACTTCTCGAGTTGTGATAGGGTGCTTTGTAAATTACTGTTTCCTTATATGTGTTGCTCTAAAGCAAATAAAATTTATCTTCCTTAGCCGGTTCTCCTATAGATCATGGAAGACAAAGCTTAGTCTTTTTCTCTAATCACAACCAGTAGGGTCTCAGTCAGGGATTGTGTTGAAAAGAGAGGCTTGGTATGATAGTGGAAATAACTGAAACACTTACCATACCTAAAAAGTTTCCATTTTTGGAAGATTTTTCTTCTCAAATAGGGCTTATTCAATACTGTCCTGACAGTACTACTTTTTTTTTCTAAAGATTTTACTTTTTTAGAACATTTTTAGAGTCACAGCAAAATCTAGAGGAATTTCCATATACCTACTTTGTCCCCACATATGCATGGCCTTCCCCATTATCAGCATCTCCCACCAAAGTGGTACATCTGTTACAATTGGTGAATCGACATTAAAAAAATCGTAATCACCCAAAGTCCATAGTTTATATTAGGCTTCGCTCTTAATATTGTACATTCTGTGGGTTTGAACAAATGTATGACATGTTTTCATTATTATGGCATCATACAGAAGTATTTTCACGGCCCTAAAAATTCTGTGTGCTGCTTTTTTTTTGGTGGGGGGTGAGTTTGGAACTCAAGTGGCCATATATTTTGGTTAAATATAATTTTAAGTCACCTTTCATTATTGTGATTTTTAGCATGACAGTATATTTGCTCCCTTATTTATTTTGTCCTCCCAAATCAGAATTCCATGTTTTTAGTCATTTTAAATTATTTGTACTTATTTGAATTTAATCGATATAAACTTTCATTTTGGAATAAGAGTGTTTGAAATATAAGCTCCAAAGTTTACCATATTTAACAGCCACATATTATTTTTACTACGTCAACAGAATATACAACCATATTCTTATTTTCACTAAGTACATTTTGCTCGGGGCAGAAGTGTGAGGATGTAAATCATTCTGAGTAGTTCAGTTGTGTTCAATTCATAATAGCGTAAAACAATAAGAGGTCTTTCTTGGTGTTTGTGTGGGTATAACTCATTCAGTTTTAATAACATTAGAATTTTTATTTGTATAAAGGTTAATAAAAGAAATATTTAAGGAAACGTAAGAAATAATCAAAATTCTTTCCTCCCTTGTTTTGATAGCAACTTTTTAATTGTCAGTCTCTACACAAACTGAGTTTGCCAGACAATGATTTAACAACATTACCAGCATCTATTGCAAATCTCATTAATCTCAGGGAACTGGATGTCAGCAAGAATGGTAAGATTTTTTTTCTAACTTTTTTTGCTTTGGAACATGTTATATTGAGATTTCTGTTGTATTTTTAACAAATAAAAATATAAAATTAAAAAATCAGGTCATAATGTATTGTAGTATTAGCTTTCATATATAAAATTTTATATGTAAGTCATCTGTTAGAGCTTAAAGCAAGGTAGAGGGTAAGTGTAAAAAATTGTAAATGATCTTTTAATTAAAATGCTGTGATACATGCATGTTGATATCCAAAAATCCTTAAATTTACATATTTATATATATTCACTGCCTTCTTGTTTGTAATGATAAAAAAGTAGTAACAACTATGTCTATTGTTGATTACACAGTTTGATGTATCCTTAAAGAATGTAATATAATGTAGCCACATCAATATTGATATGAAATATTTACAATGAGTGCTAAAGGTAAAAAAACAATGTAACATTGTAAATGAATTGAACACCAAGTATTTATTGAGACTGCCCTGTACCAAATACTTTATTGGAAGTGAAGATTACAATTAATGATGAGAAGTAAAATGACATGGTCACTATTTTCCTGGGATGTATAGTGTTAGTTTAGTTTGGTATACATTGAAGAAAGTACATGTATTCCAAAATGTTGAGTGCTTACCTTAGAGTGAGAGAGAAGTAGACACTTCAGAATTTTAGAATGAGCATATATTTCTTTTATAGTTATTAAAAAGGGGGAAAAAGTCACAAGGATTAATTTTAAATACTCTACCTAAAGATAGGACTTCAACAAACGGTAAATACTGTCATATTTAAGTAATTTTGTATAATGTTTGGAGAAAATCTATATAAACAAGTCTCGAAAAGTTAGGGCAGTAGCACCAACAAATACGTAGTAATCATATTCCATAGCCTTTGGTTCCAAAGTTACTTTTTGTCTTGATGATGAGTATGCAGCAGTAATTTTTCTACCACACCAATTTTCCTAAATTTCAGGACATATTATGAAAACCAATTTAAGACCAGTTTAAAACCAATTTAAGCACCTTGTTGTGGCCAATCCATATCAAACAATTAAATTGTATATTTTGTAGGAAAATGATCAAATTAACATTTCCATTTTAAGGAATAAATCTTCTTTAAAGATTTGTAATATATTCATATTCACTCTAGGTTCACGTTAAGGTTATGGTGGTTAGTGCCCTACTGAGTTTCAGTTGTCAATAGCTGATAAATTTTAGGTTTAAAGCTAGTATAGTTGACTCATGAACAACTTGGGGGTTGAGTGGGTTAAGGGCAATGACCGCCCTTACACTAATCTGTATAATTTAAGTTGGCCCTCTGCATACGCAGATTCCCAACTGCAGATCAAAAATACATATTTTTAAAAACATTTTGTTAATGAATCATCTAACTTTGGGGTTAAAAATTTTGTTAATATATTTTAAATTTTTTAAAAATTATTTGATTGGATTCATTTATAATAATATTGTTTTTTTCTCCAATTTATTTCAAACATTTTATATTCAAAATAAAAGCCTACCTAAGAATTAACAGAACACCCATGAATTCACCCATTGTTAGCATTTTGCCATATTTGTTTTCTCTTTTTTAAAATATATTAATTTAAATATGTTCAGGAAAGAGATATTTACATGTTTTATAAAATGTTTCTTCACTAAACCTATTAAATTTTAAGTTGCAGAGTGGCTCCATAGTGTAGTGGTCAGCACATCTGCTTTACACGCAGAAGGTCCTGGGTTCATGACCCAGGTGGAGCCACGGACCATACCTCAGGTGTGCTCCATGAGTGGAGGCCCCCCCGCCCGCCCCTGCCCACCCCGTGCACCTGGGGTGCCCTAGGTATGCACCATGAGCTCATGGGAGGATACGCCCTGCCTTCAGAGATCCAGTTCTTAAGGGGAAATTGCAGCATCCCGTAGGTCAAGGGTGGAAGTGGGGGTAGAGAATTAAAGGGGGGGAAAATTTTTAAGTTGCAGGCGTGGACTTCACTTTAAATATTGGAAGTCCTTGTACATAACCACAGCCATCATTATAACGCTCAAGAAATTTGACATCACATTTTCCCTGTTGCCTAAAAATGCCATTTTTAGCTATTTGGTCCCCCTCACTGCCCTCCTTAAATTAAAGATCACATATAGCATTCATTTGTGTTTCTTTAGTCTTTTAAAATCAGCAACAATTTGCCCATCTTTTGTGTTTTTTTTTCTATGACATTGCCATTTTCGAAGCATTCAGGTCAGTTGCTTTTTAATGTGTGTGACTTCTCTTCTTCGTGATTTTTCTCTTTAAGGGCAGTTTGAAATTCGTTTCTATTCCTGGTGCTTCATATAGTGGCAAGTATTGCTTGATAAATTCCAAAGTAAATTAATTTAGTCCATTACCAGTGTAGCTCTACATATCCTGATAGTTAAGTCAACTTAACACCATTACAGAACTTTTAGAAGTGTCGTGACATTAGGAACCATCAGGTGTAACCTTCCATCCCAGAGGGGTATCTTTTTGACCTCTTGGTTTTTTTAAATGGGAGGCCTTAAGCTGTGAGGAAAGAAAACTGAAATAATCTGGATCTTATTGATGAACTTGCATGCACCTGGGAAAGGTAGTAAACTATGCTACCAGTCTTCATGGTATGAAAATATTACTTGGCTTAATAATGAACATGCTTGCATATATCTTCCTGAAAATGTATTAACCCCAGATTTATTACTCTAAATTGAGAATGGTACAATTATGGTCTTGCAGCATCATTAATTAGTATCTTAGATGTTTATGCAACTTCTTAAAGTGTTTGAGTTTGGACAACCTATTGGACCGTAATTTATTTTTTTAATCATTATTCATTTTAGTTTCAGCAATTCCTTGTTATATTGAAAACCTTCTTTATAAGATTCTATCAGCTTGTGAATGGTTTTGAGGAGTTGGAGTGATAACTTCTACATGATCTAAAGATTTAGGATAAACACTTAAGAATTCTGCTCAGAAAGAATGGCATTAGTTATTGCTACCAATAAAACCATACAACTTATTTTAACTAAAAATTAAATTGATTTATTGATTCTTTATGTGAAATTTTAAAAATTTATTTCCTTGTTTTTCTTTTTACTTGTTTACTTTTTTTGTTAGTCTTAAACTTATGTCTAAATGAAACTGTGATTCATTAATGGTAAACAAAGCTAGCTGAGTAGGCAAAAACTATGGTAGTGTTAGAACCGTTATCTTGACTAATAAAAATTCGAGTAACCCTAATTCCTAATCTAATACTATTCATCACTATATAACTGATGTAATTAACTCATTTCACTTTTAGAAAGCTGAGATTGTTTTAATTAACCTGTAATATTTAACCCTAAAGTGTATGCTTTTACGTCTGGGTTACTGAAGAAAAAGAATGTAAAATGCATAGTATAGGTTGATGTCATTGTTATGAGAAATTTGAATTTTGTTAGTTGCATGTTTGATTAATAACTTGCTTAAAAGAAAGGTTAGTATTGGAGGTCTAAGATGGCAGGGTAGGAGAATGCTGAACCTGCCCCCTCCCATGAGCAATAATTAAAAATACATGTGTATTGGTAACAGTTACTCCTGCAAGACAACTGAGCATTGAATAAACAGCTTCTGACAATAAACAAGAGGAAGAAACTGAATAGAGAAGATCGGGAAGCCAAGAGAGCCCTTGGGGAACTGCATGAACTCTCCAGGAGTACATCAAACTAAATAGTTTTTGCACAACAAAACGAAATGACAGCCTGCTAAATGGGAGAAAATATTTGCAATTGATACATTCGATAAGGGATTAATATCCAAAATAAAGAACTCATACAACTTAACACCAAAAAAACCCAAACAATCCAATTAAATGGACAGAGGACCTGAATAGATATTTCTCAGAAAAGGACATACAGATGGCCAACAGTGATATGAAAATATGCTCAACATTACTAATCATCAGGGAAATACAAATTAAAACCACAATGAGATATCACATTTATCAGAATGGTTATCATCAATAAATCAACAAATAACAAGTAGCCAAGATACAGAAGCAACCTAAATGTCCATCAATAGATGAATGGATAAAGGTGTTATAAATATAGACAATGGAATATTCACATTTAAAAAAAAAAAATGAAATCTTGCCATTTCAACAACATAGATGGACCTGGAGGGTATTGTGTTAAGTGAAATAAGTCAGAGGAAGATAAATATATGATTTCACTTATATGCAGAGTCTTAAAAGAAATGAATAAACAAAACAGAAACAGACATATACAGAGAACAAACTGATGATTGCCACATGGGAAAGGGTAGGAGGATTGGAATTTAAAAGAAGAAGAGGGCCCAGAGGAGCCTGACTAAAGTTTGGTCAAGGAGAGATCCTTTGTCACCATTTACCTTGGGCAGAGTGGCACTAGATGATTCTGGAGAAATAAGATAAACAGGAAAAAAATAAAATGCAGACTATAATAAAATATAAAATAAAAATATTAAAAAAAAATAAAGTTAGTTATTTCTACTCAAATTGCATTTATTCCTGGTAAAACAGAATTAGCTTCTTAGGATAGCCCTAAAAGCTAAAGGGAATTGAAATACTATATACTTGTAATGAACAATGGAAGAATACCAAAATGTGGACTCACATTTTAATTTTTATCCAAACAGCATTCACTGAATACTTCTGTATGTCTATTCCATGTATTTAAGTGAATGATTATCAGGCACTGTTAGCATTCAGTATATACAAATTAATAAAATATAGTCCCTACCTAGCTTGCAAGAAAATGCCAGTCTAATAGTGGAGCCCAATAGAAATCATTAGCTCTGCAGCATAAGTTGATAAGTGAAACAAGGGAATTAGAGTAATATATAGGAAGTGGTAACAGAGCATCCTAAACCTAGGAATGTCAAGAAAGATCTCGATGTATAAGGAGGAATTATTGGATCAGTATGTTGTTCTGGTGTACTAATGTTTCCCTGGCTTCTAGAATACTGGCACATAGTAGGTGGTCAGGA